GGAGGTAATTTTGGGCTGTGACGTCACATATTTGAAAGTTTGTGTTTGGAATATGGGAAGCCTAAGATGTTTAATGAAAAATAAATGCCAGAACCGTGTTCCTGGTCATCCAATCTATAAAGTCTGGCACAATTTAACTGGTTTTAACAACATTTTAGAAGGTGGGATAGTCCCTTTAATAAAGAAATGCACTGAACTTACAGGTTGACGTCTGAACTTAAAATTTGGTACCATTCGCAGCGTCTCGTGACACCCTACACTCTATGTTTCTTCTGCAAAGCTTTGGCTTAATAAGGAGCAAAAACGGTGGAGGAGGGGGGCGCATATATCTAACCCGGTCCGCCTCTTATCTCTCATTTGGCTGGATATTAAGTAGCAAAACAATACGTACGGCGAGGGTTAACTGGCCGCGGATAATATGCCTTTTTGCAGTCAGTGTCTAAGCCGCTGGGAAACATTTCAACATTCCAATCCAGTTTCTTGCGATCATATAAAAACAGCGAGAACGGTAAGGCGTAATTTCATCGATAACGCAATATTTGGAACCTTATCATGGCCTTGATGTGTGGTCAACTTTGAATGAAGCCATTTTTCGGGAGCGCCTAATCCGAAAGTCCGAAAGCCGCTGGCATTAAACTCGCTGAAAAGAAAGAAAGTCGCTGGCATTAAACATGACAATAACCTTACTTCGAACAAATCCTAAAAATGATCCGTCAGTTTCGAAATTAATTTCATAAATTCAAGAGTTCAGCGTTGCGAGCCACCCGCCCCCCCCCCCCCCTAACACCCTCTCGCACGATGCGGTTGGCACCGAACGTCACAACAGCGTGTGGGAGAAACTTGAGCTTGTCTTTGAATTTTATCGGTGAGAGCTTTCAATCGCCGCCTTTCCCATATATCTATTATACCAGTAAAACGCCTTAGTTGGGCGAAGAACGAGCGTGCGAGACAGTGTGTCCTGCACATACGGAAGGGCGCGAGGGATACTTCCAACTGGCTTGTGCACTGCACCCTACTAACCGGTCACTAGCGGTGAAAACAATCGGCCCAGCCGTTCCCAAGATCTGGAAGTGGCACCCTGAACGTGCGCACGTGCAAACTGGGCCCAAAGAGATCAACCGGTCCCAAACCGCTTACCAAATTTGAGCGTAATCGGCCCAGCCGCTCTCGAGATCTAGAAACGCCCTCTGCACGTGCGCACGTGCAGTAGCACCCTAACCATAACACATTAGAATGCATCACCTGGTGGGTGCCTACCCACATGCCAAGTTTCAGCGAAATTGCCCCAATAATCCCGAGTCACTTGTAATGGGAACAAATTTGACACATATTTTTGCATTTTGCACGTGCAGTGGGGGTGATCCACATGCCTCGAGAGTATCCGATGTTTGGCAGAAGGGACGCAACTACCCTACAAAAATTACCGCAAGTCAATCACCCCAGCGGCTGCCGAGATATGGGCCTCTCAAAATCGCTACTCTAGCAGAACTTCTTGAATACCCTTAGCTTTTCACGTGGCACGTGCCGGGACGGTCACCTAGATGCATCAAGAATCGTCAGTTACGGGGTAGAAGGGATGGGCTACCGAACAAAAAAGACCGCAGGTCAATCGGCTTAGCGGTTGCTGAGTTAAAATAAGCCTCTCAAAAGCGTTACAGGCCGGGTTGGACTGGGTCGGGTCGGACCGGGCTGGGCGGGGCCGGGCTGGGCCGCTCATACAAGAGTTGCTACGTGATATTGAAGAGGCTCGCTTCACGCTTTGCGCTCGCTGGTTACCAACTGTCTTTACGTTCCCGTCACAGAAAAAAAAGTATATTTAATAATGACGATTATGGCAAACCAAACTTACGCTTACGTGCTATGGGAATATATCGATCAGAATAGATGTTGCTTCCCTGTCTTGGTCCTTCCATAATTGATAGCGTTGTTCTCTATTACGAGGCATATTGTCGCCGGACAAAGGCCAAACATGATGACAGTGGCTCATTCATTAGCGGTCTTTGTTAGGGGGCGAACAATGGGCTGGTGGTCACACAGGCCAATGCTCGGTAGCAGTGGTAGCACGGGATCTGCAAATGATGTGCTGATTTGGCACGGGTCCCAAATCCACCGATGTTAGTATTTCCAGAGCCCTGTTGGACATTTCCGAGCGCAGACTACAGCGAGTAGGTATCGGACACGCGGAGCAAACTGAGTTTGCTCACCACACAAGACCCTACAAACACACCGTTGGTCAAAGACAAACATGGACCTCTTACCTGATGCCACTGCTCCCCCCTGTCCCACCGTGTGACCCCCCCCCCCCCGAGCGCACCCCAACCTACCTTTGCCGACGAGCCAGGCGAACATCACCAGCAGCATCCTCCAGCTGTTTGGCACGACCCTCATTTCGCCTGGAGCGGCGTACACTGGCTGCGACCGAGAGAGCACTGAGCAGCACGGGCGGCGCGCCGGCCCGCCAGCTGCCGGCGGCTGCGGCACCGGCGGCGCGCCGGCGGCGGTCGCCGCGCAGCGCCGCAATCGATGCCGTCCGCTGATCGTGGCGCGCGTCGATGTCGGAGGCCCGGCGGCGCCGCTGTATCGACAGCGGCCGCGCGAGCACGCGCCGGGATGTGTGGGGAGTGAGCGACCTCTGTGCAGCGTGACACCGCTGACCGGGCCGCGCCAGCGACCTCTGGCCGCCAATGGACGGTTCCAGTAGGCCGGCTTTATGTGTTAGCTGTGGCTGGATGAAGGTGACCTGCATTTCAAACATTGGCTGCGCATTATGTGCTTGCCCTCGGTTTTAGATTGAGACTTGACTTCACCCCACATAAGACTTCATGTGAGGTCAAGGTCACCATTCGCCAACAGTATCGGCAATGGCCTTCGTTATAATCATGTTGCAGCGATGAAACTTCCCCTAATAAGAGCAATCCAATAACATAGAATCGATTGACATGTACCCTGACCTTTATCGGTCAGATTCCGATCATGACCTGCAGTGAGACGGCTAGATATTCCTGTTTAGCTTAGTATGCCTTTTAGGTAATGTCATACACAGTGAGAAATGTGTACCTACTAATTTCCTAGTTATCCTGCCTCTTTTCACTAACAATGTTAGTGAAAAGTGGCCGGATATCTAGAAAAGTATTAAATATTTTTTTACAGTGTATGTAAACCATTCGACGCGCCTCGCTACGAAAACAATGATGACGCTCAGGACCGGCAGATACCGCTCCGAAGGCGATGTGAACCACGCACCTGCGAAGCTCGGTTATCACGGACCCGCCCAGCCGGATGCCACAAAGTCAGCGACGTTATTGAATAGTTTAGCATCGCATGTCTCGCCATGGTCATACTGCCGTAAATGTCGCAGTGATAAATTCACTTAAAACACGGTTTATGCACTCTAAGTCTTCTGAAATTAATTTTTTCGATCATTAATGCCTCCTATATCCCAGAATAATGCGTGCAGTGGAAGAGGGAGGGGTTAATTTCACCCACGCTTCCTGTTTTCCACAAATATCTCATGCCGCCATCCTTCTATTTATGTCGAATTTTCAGTACCTGTCTGGCATTGCATTGTGCATCTTGCCACGCGAACAATTAGTAAATCGGTCTACAACTTCTTTAATAACGATCTCGCAAAGCGGCGGCGCGGCGGCGGGCGCCGCGCGCCGGCCGATACTTGCCGCCGGACTGGTAGACTGTGCCGGTCCAGAACGATTCCGTCTTTGCATTGCGCTGCTTAGTGCTTACCGCTGCATCATCGACTCGCTTCAAGGTCTCTGTGAAGACTTAGAAATGTACAGACAATCTTATAATAGAAAAATATGAAATATGTGATGGTTATTTCTTATTAGAAAGACATATCTCACAGGTCTCACAAGTCACAATAGCAGAGCTGGATGTTCGTGAAGCTGGCAAAAAAAGATTCAATAGGTCGGTATAGACATAAGTAATTAGTTCTCAACACGGAGGATCGATTGGGGTTAGGGGATAAAAGCAAACTTCTCAAAAAAGAAGACATTGAAAATGCATCGTTCTTCACATTGAAACACCGTCTATTAGGTCGAACACAGTGCAAACGGAGAACAGTTTCCAGTCATGAGAATTGTAGGGAGTTGTGGAGGATCGGGCAATGCAAATCCACCGTCGCGGCTTCGCCGGTCTGGCTTTGGGACCGCATCAAACGGCGAGGGTCAAGGTCACCCACGCTGGGGCGGCGGGTATGCGGTGCCCGAACACCCTCAGCTCCTCACAATTATCCACACATGACAGTTTCTCACGCCACCTAGTGTTAGGCACCGCCCGCATCTGTGCTCCGCTATTGGAGACTGCAACGCCTGACACCTACGCCACGGAGAAAATCCGAAGCGTGTGCGCGACATGAATATGTCGTGCGACAAGGTTTACATTTTCCTGGTAGTGTTTTCTTCACCAATGCGCATATTCTGCGGAGTTCTGCATTATAGTCAGAAAACTTTTGGTCTCTTTTTTTACTCACCCTAGCCTACATAAGTAGGTATAGTGCCTATCTTATAATGAAAAAAAACGTTTCCAGACGCTGAAATATATCTATCAATGAATTAGGAATACGTAAAAAATATAAAAATCAAATCAAATAGATAACTGTGCTCTTAACGTTATAACGCATTTAGTTTCCGGAGAGACCGTAATCGACATTTCATGCGTAGCTCAGTCAGAACTTCATGCGTCACTCCTTTTCAAGCTCCTTTCCAAGATACGAACCTCTATGTAGCGAATAACTTGACATCGACACCATGTGACCATTCAGGCATTCGAGTACCGGAATTATGGAAGAGAGAGTGGGTAGAACTATCATTGACTCTTAGGCAATTAATAATATAATTAATAATAATATGAATTATTTCTGCATCTGTCTTCTGAGTTCTGTCTCTTTTGTTGTGGTTCGATATATTGGATGTCTACATATGATTCAATTAGAAAATTACGTACGTAATACATCTTGCAGACCAGTTAGGAGTCAACAGACATTTTCATAGGTCACTTGTATTCTTTGAGAAAAAGCATAGGATTACATATGTTTTGTCAACACCTGTTCTTATTAGGAATATATTGCATGTACCGTCGTAGAATCTGATATCAATGCGCTTAGCGGTGCATCACCTTCATGGCCTGCAGTCCTTCCAGCACGGAATCCATAGACAGCTTATCTGTGAAGAGAAAGTTTGGCTTGTTATTCCTAATTTCATGCATAGCCCGTATACTTATATTTGCATCAAATATTATTGCTATGGCTCCAGTGGAACGTATTCGTAAACAGCCGTTTGAAGGATAAAATTTATGCATTTGACGCAATTTACACTCACTCTGTTTGACCCATCTCACCATTTAATAGTTCGTGCGCTTTCCAATCACCAACAACAACTAATCGGGAGATTGGCTACGCTTCAGATGGCCCCCCACCTCTGCCTTACTCCACCCACCGTCAGTCATCGGCTGCGCACTGAAGCCGAAGTCGTGCAGCATGTCGAGGATGTCCTGCAGCACGATCTCCAGACCGGTGTCGACGTCGACGCGGCCGTGCTCGATGTCCTCGATGTCGGCGATCAGCTGGTCGATGTCGGCCTCGATGGCCTCGGTCTTCTCGCGGCTGAAGCCCAGCACCGGGCCGAGGATGTCCAGCACGGCCGTCAGCGCCGAGTCCAGCTCCGCCAGCAGAGCGTCCAACTCGGTCGGCGTCTCACTGGCTGGAAACGGACGGTGGATGACGGTGACGGCGACGGTATGAAGAAGTGCGCGTGCCAGTTAACGGTCAGCCGAGTGGTGGTACCGGCATTCACAGTTAAACAAGTTACAGTAGTGAGCTATTACATCAAAGAATTTCGGCGCTCCTTTCCAAATGACCACCTTCGCACGGTTACTTACTGGGAGCGATCCAGTCGATTCCCAGGATCCGGAGCATCTCGAGGACATCGGTAATCATGGCGGCCAGTCCGTCGGCGATCGGCACCTGTCCGTGCTCCAGAGCCTCGACATCGGCGACAAACTTGTCGAACTCGCGTCTGAACTGGAGCGCCTGCTTCTCGGTGAGACCGATGAAGGGCGCGATGATGAGCAGGTACTTATCCACCAGACCCTGCAGCTCCTCCAGAAGTATATCGATCTGAGACTTGGGTGCTGCGGGCGGACACAGGGCGTCGTCAACACTGAGCAACTGAGCATTATCTATATAAGTACTTACAGCCACGGGACACCGTCAACACATGCCCTTCAAAATACTCGCTTCTCAGCATAGATTGCTAGCGATACTCACTGGTCTCCTCGAGAAGGCCCTCAGTGTCCAGCTTGGCGCCCAGCTGGTGCATCACCATCAGGATCTCAGTGAGCGCCGACTGCAGGCCGGACTCGACGTCCGTGGCGCCATCGGCCAGCGCGTGCAGCGCCTGGGCCGCCTGGTGGACCGTCGACACGGCGTCGGTCCGACCGTACCGCAGCAGTAGACGCACAGCCTCGCTCTCAGCGGCGCTGATCAGGCGGGCAGTGTCGAGGGACGCTGGGAAAGCGAGACTAAGTCGGACGTATTTTCTAGACATCCCAGCTCTACATGCAACATTCGTAACTCCATAATCGTGATTCACATTTTTTGCTGAAACGAGTGAATGTCATTTTTGAATCCACATCGGTTGTGAATCGCCAACATTTTGTCAGGTGGGCAGTGACTTACCTTGGTTTTGCAATTGCAGCTTAGCATTGCCGAGCTGTGCCTTGACGAGTTTCAGCGTCCGCAGCGCATGCTTGGTCTGCTCTCCTACTTCCTGTGACAGCTGGCCCGAAAGCGGGGCTGAAAAACATCACTGTTATACTTATAGCATAACGAGTATATGGTTGATGGATCAATGTAGGGATATGAGGCAGCTTGTAAGCTACGACGCGTCCCTGCCTATCATGCAATAACGATTATTTAGTCTAAAATAAAAAGGGATCATAATGTTCTTCCTAGTTCCTGGACGTACTGTTTGATAAGCGCACGTAAGCGCACGCATAACGTGCGGCACGTTGCACGTTTCTGAAAGCCACGATTTTGAGTAACATCGACTCATCAAAATAGTACCGACACTACAAAGTTTGCTACAAAGGCAGTTTCTAAGAAAAGAATCGAATGAGGGATCGGATAGCGGGATAGATGAAACAATCACATTCATAGCCGAAGAGCTTCGTGACCATTTAACTGTTTGCGTGACTACAAGATCAAATGTCGCCATAAATGTCAATCCTGCGATTTGACTCACGTAGCCGTGGAACAGCGGCGGACGAAACGACCGCCACCAGCAGGGACGTCGCTATCAGCCTCATGTTGTGGCTGTGAAGTGTGGGTGTGTCTGTATGCGTCTGCACAAAGGGCGTGTCTGGGACAGACTTATATCGCCCCCTGCCGAACCGCAGCTGAGTTCGCTCCCACGCCGCGCCTGCATTACTATCTGGCGCTATTCCTCGCCACATAAGGCGACAGAAGCGGGGGGGAGGAGGGCTGCGGGGGCACAGTGTCCTACACCTTGAGGGGCTATGGGGCAAACATATCTTTTTGCCACCAAAACTTAGCCATCGATCCAAACACCACGATTTGCTGGAAACGTATCCCAATCTCTTCGACTGCGGCTTCCTCCCTTGTTCGCATACCTAGTCTACTTATTTTTTCAGCCTTGTTGCCTGTTGGAAGCAAATACACAAAGTATTTTCATAATTTCGTCGTTTATCGTTAAAATACATACATACCTATATATATATATATATATATATATATATATATATATATATATATATATAGGTATATATATAGGTATATATATATATAGGTATATATAGGTATATATATATATATATATATATATATATATATATATATAGGTATATATATAGGTATATATATATATATATATATATATATATATATATATATATATATATATATATATATATATATATATATATATATATATATATATATATATATATATATATATATATATATATATATATATATATATATATATATATATACCTATATCACTTTAGGCCATTTAAATAACATTTAACTCAGACGTTTCACCTTTATTGTCAAGGTTTCATCAGTGTGATATGGCCCAGGGTATATTGAGTGAAGGGTAGGACGAACTTTGGTAGGAATTTCTAGTATAACTACTAGAAAACCTACTATATGTGGTCGGGACTAGCAAAAAGTTAGTTCAAACTAGAATATGGTAGCGCTTATGGTTGGCAGTCGTGACGCGCACGTGACATTCATTTCTTAAATTTCTTAAATAAGAGGTTTTAGGGGCCGATTAGTGCGCAGATACATTCAATTAGCTATTCATAATTGATTACGCAAACATTCAAGATTCTACATCATTCAATTCTAGCCGAAATCACACGGCGCTCCCAGGATTCGAACTCACGACCCTCAGATCCGTAGCCCGATACGCTACCGACTGCGCTACCGAGGACCGCGCGCCGACGATCGGAGAGGCGGATCGCGGGTGCTGGCGTGCGAGAAATCTTTACCCTGTACGCCGTAGAAGATAGGCTGGGTTTCGTGAAAAATGGTAGAGAAATTGTCGAAAGAAAATTCATCGATCTATCATTTGAGACTAAGAACCATTGATTCCTTCAAAGGTTGACCGAGATATCGCTCGCCGAAAACAGGCCATTTAACATGTAAACCCTATGGGCTGGTAGGAAATGTACGCCGTGGAGCAGCAGTGCTACCAACTAACTTCGGCGGGGGCCGATATGGCCAACGCTTTCGCCGCAAAAGCCACAAATGCAAGACAAAAATAACAATCATATCGGACCGCACGTGATTATAATAGGCACTAATTGCCTCTAATTAAATCTCAAAACAAAGACATGCGTGACATCACAGACACCATAGCGCCGAATCATAAAGAGGGTGAGAGGATCTCATACTCCATTCATTTATTCATTCATGGATTCATTCACTCTCACCCTCTTTCCGCCCTTTAGGTCGAACGCACGTTTAGTCCCCCGTCTCTGTCGGTACCTAGCAGCCCCATCCAGCAGTTCTCCCTCGACCTCCTGTAATCCACATTCCTCCTCCACACTCGTTCGAGTCCGACCACTTGCAGGTGGTCCAAGGAGTGGCCTGTCGCTCTAAAATGCCTACTCACAGGTAGGTCGATCTGCACTTCTTTGGCTTAGCCAGAGCCTTAGCCGCTTCGATACGTTAGCAGACCTGGACTCAGGACGATACCGTGAACCTTTAGCACTTTTAGAACATGCCAACCTGGCGCTGACTGCTGCAAACGAGTTGTCGTAAGCTCCCACAATATTTAAAGGACCGGAGCGTATCCTTTTGCCTGAGCATCGTTGCGCTCCAAAACCCCTGGCAACGGCTTTCTGCCACATCCTCCAGAGCAGATGTAACATGGGGAGATTCTCTCCCCCCCCCCCCCCCCCACTTCCGAACCGATGGTCGAAGAAAGCCGGGAAAACAGCAATCGAAAGCTCTTTTCAAGGCTTTTGCTCTTTTGCTCGAAAGCTCCTTTGAAGCAAAAAAGAAATGAATAAAAATAATAATAATTTATATTTAATCGGACCGCCTCCTCGGTATACCAGGTATTATTCGGTGTGCCTAGCCAAGGGTGTTTTAAATAATGCCCGAACGGAGTGAGGACAATAATAATAATAACATTAGTAAGTAAATCCTACAGAAGTTTTGCCCACAACCTTGTAATAGAAAATTAGACAACCGAACACCAGTAATGCCAAAAAGTCTCTCTGTTTTCACAAAATGCTCCAAATAAATTTGCACGTAAAATTATTTCCGCGTGAAATAATTTCACGCACTTAATTCAACTCACCACTTCAGACACACGCCCCCCTGATCTTCAAGATCACTAAAACACTCAACACACACAAAATATCAAAAATGCTGACTTCGGTCACGAAACCGGCCAAGCAACACTTCGCCGGTCACAGAACCGCGGGCACCATAATCGGCTACCAAACCGTGCACCTTATCGGTCACCAAACCGGAGCACTATCGCCGCTCACCACCCGGGCACCATCACCGGGCACCACCGCCGGTCTCCAGCACAGGTCTTCATCACCGGGATCTATCACCGGGATCCATCAACGGGCTCCATCACCGGGATCTATCACCGGGATCCATCACCGGGCTCCATCACCGGGCTCCATCACTGGGCTCCATCACCGGGATCCATCTCGGGGCTCCTCCAGCACCGGTCTCCATCACCGGTCTCCATCACCGGTCTCCATCACCGGTCTCCATCACCGGGATCCATCACCGGGATCCATCACCGGGATCCTCCATCACCGGTCTCCAGCACCGGGCTTCATCACCGGTATCCAAATCGGACGAAATCGAATCTATCGTTGCTCGTTGGTTCGTTCCCGTCTCGCCTCTTCGCCATTTCAGTAGCTTCGTTCGTATTCCCTGTCGAATTATATACAATACCGAAGACCGAAATAAGGCCGAAATAGCTTGTAATAGAAAATTAGACAACCGAACACCAGTAATGCCAAAAAGTCTATCTGTGTTCACAAAATGCTCCAAATAAATTTGCACGTAAAATTATTTCCGCGTGAAATAATTTCACGCACTTAATTCAACTCACCGGATAAATGACAACATTTATCCGGTTCCTAATCATTTTTAACCCTAAGGGAAACGGTTCTTGTCGCACCCCGCATTGCACGGTCCTTCTCCGCGGGACATGAGTTCGCGAATGGACCCCGGGTCATGGGTCACCGAGCTAAGGCCAGTTTCACACAGATTGTCCACCCGAACGGCCGCGGCGCAAGATGACGATCAGAAATTTATACATATACACGTATAGGAGAGCTGAACCAGGCCATAATCGGCATACTCCAGGGCGAAATGACACAGCGTGCCATTGTTGATCAGACATCTGCCTGCACAGTCCGGCACTGATGGGACAAGCATATGGCTGCTGGCAGCGTTGCTGATCGTTCCAGATCAGGCGAATCAAACCTGCCGGGCTTCTGAACTCTGAAGGAAGGAAGTGTAAGCCGCCTACTATCCGGACCTAAACCTGATCGAGAAACTTGCGTACCTACCTAAATCCCTGTTCGTGGGGAATATACTAAACGTTGAAAAGAATCACTGCCTTTTATATAGCAACGTCCAGAGAACATTTTTTATGGGACAAAGCCCACGCCGAACCCTGAGTCAGGTCGAGGTCAGGTCAAGGCTAAAAACTGAATGTTTCTACATTGTCGGTGTTGGAACGTTGTTGGCGAAGAAAGGACTGAGATTGATTACCCAAATTCAGGACTTCGACTCCAGGCTCGGACGTGTCAATGCTTTGATTCAATCCATGTCTTAGTTTGTTTTAACTGAATTCTACATACACTCGATTTTCACCAGCCCGCTACGCTGACACAAAATTTTAGTGTCAAAGTCGGGGTTTTTTTCCAACTCTGGCTAAATGTCTACGGCATGTTCAAGTGCCGGTATAGTATCACTGGCTACTGAGGGACGAACGGAGGCTCCTAAAGCCCCACTGAACTCTAAGAAGGGCTCCCACACTAGCTTCCGGGGAACCCAAACCGACCTCTGAGGGCCCATCAGGCCGGCACTTGTGAACACCACTCTGGTCTCCCACTGTTGATACTGAATGCTCAGGCGCAGATCTTTGAGGGCCAGTTGGGCAGTCCTACGGGCCTCCGCTGGCCTCAACGGCCCCCATACTGGCCTCTGAGGGCCCCAAAGGTGTCCAAGGACCCTTGACAGCCCCTCGGGGCCAATTTCGACTTTGATGACCATCCTTACCGCAGGTCTATGTATGCCGGCCTACACGGATCTTTGGACACGGATCTTCAAAGATTTTTGAAAACCTTTGCTGACCTCAACAACCCAGCCGGGCTCTTGAGTCTTGAGTGTTCTTGAGTGTTCTCTTGAGGGCTCTTGAGGCAACGCAGGGTTCTTGCAGACCCAAAACCGGCATCTGAGGGGCCACGTGTGCCTCTGGGCAGGTCTGTGGGGTCGGGGTCGGAGTCGGTCGGAGTGGACAGCTCTGACCGGAGCCGGACTCGGTTTGGGAAGCCGGGGTCGAAGTCGAGTCGAAGACACCACAAAAATCCATCACAGAAACTTTGTATGCAACCTACGGATTTTCAAAAGGGCGAGCCGATTGCCTGGATCCTTTTTAACTTCTTCTGGATGAGGATGGGGAGCATGGCTATCGAGGGCTTAGCGTAGGCTTCTAAAAAGCCCCACTGAACTCCAAGAAGGGTTCCCACACTAGCTTCCGAGGAATCGGGTACAAGCCGACTTCTGAGGGTCCTCAGGCCGGCACTTGTGAACACCACTCTGGTCCCACATTGTGATTCTGAATGCTCAGGCGCAGGTCTG